CCAAAGACAAGCGGAACAAGCCTCCGCTCTCATAGCCTTTTCCAACAAAAATTCCATACTTGGAGAGTATAAATTTATTGGATTCAAACACAAGTCTAAAACCATCACGACGTAGCAGGGAACCACTAATCAAATTCTTCTTTATTGAGGGGACATGATGCACGTTCCGCAGTTGCACGGTCTTTCCCGAAGTGAGCTTCAGATCGACCGTACCAACACCACGAACAGCCGCACGCGCCCCGTTCCCCATCAACAAGGAGCCAGCCCGCCCGGCCTGGTAAAAAGAAAACAAGGAAACATCAGCACACACATGTATATTTGCACCAGTGTCAACCCACCAATCAGGTGAATGACAAACTGAAAATACAGAAGGCAAAACTTTACCATACCCAGATGTAGCTGCATCAGTCTCAACGGTGTTAACTGATTTTTGTGGTGGAGGAGGCTTCCACTTAGCCTCAGGACACTCCCTAGAAAAGTGCCCAGTCTTGCCACAAGTGAAACAATTCATCTTTTCCTTGTTCATCTTCTTACCCTTCTTGAAAGGAGTAGTGGTCTGTTGCTTAAGCCCTTGCTGAAATTTCTTTTTCTGTGGTTTAGGACGGTTCCTTTGCACCACATGTGCGCTAGAACTCCCCTCACCGACTTTCTTGCCTTTGACATCCTTTGCTCTAGCCTTGTTTTCAACATCTAGAGTCCCAACAAGCTCAGCAGTGCTGAACTCTTGCCTCTTGTGTTTCAGAGAAGTGGCAAAGTCAGTCCAAGATTGTGGTAGCTTAGCAATGATACAGCCTGCCACAAACTTGTCAGGAAGTGCACACCCAAACAGCTCAAGTTCCTTTACCAATTCACTCGTATTTCATGGGCTGTTCGACTCTTCGACTGGCCCTCAACCATCCGATAGTCATGGAACTGCTCCATGACATACAAACTCAAACAAGCATCGAAAACACCAAAGCGGGCCTCAAGTGCATCCCACATGGCTTTTCCGGTCCGGTGGCACATATCCATCAACAAGAGAGTCTCCAATGACACTCAACAGAGGAGCCTTGCATGTGACGTCAACGTTTTGGAATGCACGCCTCATCGAGGTCCGCACTCAATAGGCTGCTCATGCACCACATGAAAGCAGTTCATAGAGGTTAACCAGAATTGTTTTCTCGGCGCCATCTCTTATAGTGAGTGCCCTCAAACGGCGTTGGTTTCAACAAACCCATAAAGCCAATAGATGAAAATTGTCTATTATCACGCTTTTTGGAATGTTAGAAATATAGGCAAATTCAAGTTTAATTTAATCCGTAAAAGAGATATAAACAAAATACTCATGATATCATATATGTGCTTGTTCAAATGAAATATCACCATGGATGTTAAAATAGTGCTAACCAGTGAGACATGATACATATTATTGTCCGAATAAATCATGACCATCATATAGTTAACACTAACCAGCAAGATTGTAATAGAGATCATATAATTAACAAGACGGGTGAAATGATTATACCCTACAATGCAGAGCCGGATACACCAAACATGATGCCTGTCGTTGTGTAGTCGTCCCTTCGATGCAAAGAAGAACGGAAGCCGTGCAGAGATCACCCGACGAAGACGAAACGAGAACTCACGGCGAAATGAGGAGGGGACGGCGAGTAGTCGTGCCGCTTGCGAGCGCTCCCCAAAACGTGATGGCCGCCCTTCACCCGAGCAGATGAACTCGATGAGCGGAGACGTTCTGGAGGCTCTACTCTTCCATCTCGTGTGCGCGCAGGAGACGGAACGGGAAAAACTTTTTAGACAGCGAGAACTTTTGGTTTTTGTAATCGCAAGTAAAAGGACTAGGCGATGGAGTTAGGAATATATCCCACACACGGATGGGAAGGCCAAAGGACTCGGAGATTAGGAGGTAGCAGATACGATGAATGCTAGAGAAGGAAACTCCTGTATTCATTTGCCAATTAATTAATGGAATGAAAAGACCTTCAGAATTTTACGTAATCAAGAATTCTAATTGGCAAGATGGAATACTTAACGCTTGCCTTCCTGCATGTCTAGTCACGTCCAAGGCCCAAATTTTATCACCGCCCTCATGTGCCTGCAGTTGGTCCATATCACATATTGGTACTAAACCAATAAATATTATTTAATACAAATCATAGAGTTTATTAATTATTATATATATTATATGGGCCTAGACCATGATATACCAACAGAAGAAAGTCACCACAAGGCGCTAGTGGTGCTGGGCAGATCTCAAAAGTCCAAAATCCAAACTATGGGCCTCAGGTCGATCCCGGGAGAGACGCCGCGATGTCTTGGACTGAGGAGCGGGCGAGAAAGAAATACGATAGAACAAAACGTATCGGTATCCTGCGTGAGTGGTGGGTTGTAATTCTTCGTAACTCCACTAATTTGAGTTTTCATAACACCTTTTTAAGGTGCTCCATGAAATACATGAATCTAGGGGTATATCCATGGATTTTGTGAAACTGCTCTATGGTGGATCAATGTAGATCTAGAAATATTTAGCTTGAAAAGATGGATCTAGAGATCCTAGTGCTCTTCCAAACAGGCTCCATGACATCTCTAGAGATCCATCACTAATAGAAACTTTAAGAAGCTAGAATTCAAGAGGGCACTTGCCACAGCAGCACTACTGCAAACTACATTTACACGGACGGTTATTTAAAGGTCTGTTTGTTTTAGCTTTTTGCTAACTTCTGCAAGTCACAAGTTAAAAGCTGAACAAAAAGCCTAGCTGTTGAGCTGGTTTTTGAAAAGCTAAAAAACTGATTTACAAAGAAATAAACTAAAAGCTGAAAAACACGTTATGTGGAGCTTTTCTAGCTTCTGGTGTGCTTAAAATTTATTACAAAAGTAAAAAAAAGTTAACAGTCAGAAAGCTAGCTTTTTAGCTAGAAGCCAGAAAGATAAATCTCAAACAAACATGTCCTCAGTATTAAACTATTAGCAAAAGCGGCATACCTCTCAGAGGAAATTTCTTTAAATCAGAGATTTCCGTAGGTGGACGATATTTTCTGAGGCGAGATGATATAAGTACGTGAAAACGGAACTGCTGGCGGGTATTAGAAATGGACGATTTTCATAAATAAGCCTCTTTAGCTGTCCATCTCTAAAATAATTTATTTATAAAAGCGGATATCAGATGAGAGACACTCCAATAAACTTGAGAGACTCTAGTTTTTTTTATAACCGCATTGTAAATAAAAAGGTTTGTCTTATGAAATCAATTCTATAGTAGCATAGGAATAGGAATGTCAGAAGCTCAGAGAGCAAAAGATCGATAACGAGTCAAATTGTTTTAGGCTGAAATTCTGTTCAGCGTGATATATACTCCCTCTATATTAAAAAATAAAGTTGTTTTGGACAGCGACATAGTCTCTAAAGCATAACTTTGACTACTTATTTTTATAAAGATATTTATCAAAAAATGATATATGTAAATTTTTGTGAAAGTTTTTTAAAGACAAATCTATACATATGGTTTTCACATTTCCAAACTCAACAACTTAAAAGTTATTTATGATTTATACCAAGCCTTGTCAAAAAAAAATGACTTTATTTTTTTTAGTACGGAGGGAGTACAGATTTGCAATGCTTAGGAGTTAGGCTCTTGTAATTAATCCGTTACCCAGTAATGAAACTAAACTAAACTAAACTAAACTAAGCGTCAACCGTAGAAATGGCACGATTGCACGACAGCACAAGTCAAATGTACAGTACGGTCATGGAACGAACAAGGCCAATTTCTCAGTCGACGCACCCAAGAAGGTTGATTCCTGCCGGACTGCCGACGACGGAACTATCAACCATTCAGCCGCCCTCCGTCCACAAAATTATTGGGTCCAGATATCGCAAGGTCTCCAAGCCCACTCGGTGTAGTTTGGTCCGAACACACCTGCAGCAGCACAACCAAGACCGGGTACGTACGATAGGTCTCTTGAGGTCCAAAGCCCATTAAACTCTCGGTGCTACCCATCCAGTTCAGGGGTAGAGAACCTGTCAAATCTAACCGATCGCTCAAGATACTCCCCGGCGAATCCAAGCCAGATAATCACTGGTCTTATCTGAATATGGGTGGGAGCATTAGTATTAGTAGCACTATATACAGCGTTTTTTTTTCCATTGATATGATATCCTCAAAATTCGTCGGGGTCTGGCAAGTGGCAAGCCGTAGCTTCGTCCCTGCTTCATGCCTCTGAATAAGTGAAAACAGTCTAAATGGATGCAGGGACTCTAATTAAAAAAAAGTGCTTAATTGTTGTATATGCAGATGCAGTAATAATGTTTATCTGTGGATGCAATCACTTTGTAAAGATGTTTCTGGTTGGCTATACAGGCAGATGTGTTATTCGTCTGAGACCGATCTGTGAGCAAACATGTTAGCACTGCAAGATGCCAGCGCCAGAGCAACCAAACAAGTCCCATACCACTGCAGGTGTGTTGAGAAACGTAGCTTCATGGGTAGTGCCAAGGTTGCGTTAATGACGTGGTTCTATACGGAGTATTAATCATGCTTAGACCCTGTTCGCTCGAACTTATCAGTCTGGTTTATCAGCCATGGTACAGTGTTTTTCTCTCACGACAAATTAACGAATATTACTTTCCAGTCTGACTTTAAAACTACCGCATAAGAAATTTTTTACCAGCTTACCACAGAAAGAAATCCAAATCTGTAATAATAATACAGAGAGTACCGAGGCCAGGTTTAACGTTCATTTCATCATCACTTTGAAGAGACAATACCTGTTGATAATTGATGTGCACTCAGCCGTGAATTTTGCTAATAAAGTACCTGCGTGCTTCGAAGTCCAAGAACACGGCATTTCCGGCGCCGTCCCCGTGAAGCACGGCCCAGTCAATCGCTCGCACATTCTTGGGAGAGATAGCCCCTCTGCAGTTTGTCTTTGTCCACCAGCAGCACCCAACCCAAGATAATGTGTTTGGTAACATCAAACTCAAGATTCAAACGGCCACTGCCACTATATAAGGCGCGAAATGGAGGAGCATCGGAGGCAAGCCAAAACCACAGCATGGGCATCACCACGAACATGAAGGGCATCGCCCTCCTTGTTGCTCTTGCCGCTGCGTTCTCCTCGTGCTGCAGCGCTGCATCGTCTCCCTATGCCTTCCCACCGGTAGAAGCACCAGAGGCTCATGCGCCCTATGCCGAGGCGCCACTGGCTGCACACCCTGGATCTGAGCATGGGAAGCACCACCACCATGAGTCGTTGGCGCCGGTCGAGCCACCGTCCTACCACGGCTCGCCTAACCACAAACATCATGGCCACCATGGCCATCACCACCACCACCACCACCATGAAGCTCCGCCAAGCCCTTCCCCGGCTCACCACCCTCCACCACCCCCTGCTCATCATGCACCACCGCCTGCACACCATGCACCACCACCCCCAGCTCACTACACACCGCCACCTCATTTTCCATCTCCTCCTGCACACCATGCACCACCACCCCCAACTCACCACGCACCGCCACCTTATTTTCCACCTCCTACTCACCATTCACCGCCGCCTCATTTTCCTTCTGCTCACCTTCACCACCGCCTTGGCTCACCATGCACCACCACCACATTTTTCACCTCCCTTTGTCATTCTCCACCGCCTTATTCTCCACCCAATGCTCATTATTCTCCACCGCCCCCAGCTCATCACTTCCTGCCACCGCCTCCAACTCGCTACCCGCCACATAATTCGCCACCTCCAACACACAAGTATCCACCACCACCGGCGCCTTCTCATGGTAAGGCACCACCACCACGTGGCCATAGGAAATTCCCGCCATCATCTCGACCGATGCATTCAGCTATAGCACCCGCACCAGCAAATTACAATGCTATCTCACCATCTGAGCAAGGTCCCAAGATCACATATCATGCCGCTCCGAGTAATGCACCTATGCCATCAGGTCAAGATGGAGCATCGCCTCCGTGGTATTTTTGATAGCAAGACCAAGATGAACACTTACCTAAGTTAGTAAGATTGCAGTTCAACTCTGCGCAAGAGATCAAAAGCTCAATAGCTACTTCGGGGGGAGTCTTTTTTTTTTTCTTATCATACGTTATCGTGTCGAAACAGAGTACTATTGAATAAATTATGTAATCCATTTGGATCATGTTGTCGGTCAACTCTTATATCAAAATGTTTCTTCATCCTTTGGTGTCTATGTTATGGAACCCATACTATATAAATTGTCCCTGCCCATAATATTAATTGTACGCCCCTCAACTTTTACTAATTGACGTTAGTTAGTTCAAGCTAACCAATGTAAATTATTAAAAATAGGAGGTAGTATATCATTATTGTCTAATCTATCAAATCATTTTTCTATCCTTACAAGCTCATTGATGCAATGAGATGTAACCTTAACCGGTTTCATTGTAGCTATTATGGCATCTCATATCATATAGCATAATAAGACAAATTGTTTAGTGGACAAAGAAGAAGTGCATATCCTTTGTTTATCACCAAAGGTCCAAGTCATGAGGGGATTTAGAGCCATCGTCTGCATCATCATAATTGTCATAACCCCTGTCAAAGTCATGGTTGTAGTCTTCAACATCGACCATCGTAGTCATAATCACTGCCAAGGTTGTAGTCTCTTGCACCAGTGTTTCCCTTATAGAAAAAATAATATATTTTTTACTTAGGAACCGCCACAAATGTCCGTGTAAATGCATAAGCTAGTTTGTAGTTGTCAGTGTTGTTTCTGGTATTTTAAATATCATTACCTTCAATGTGCTTTTTAGCAGAATTCTAAGGCAACACGTTGTACTTATATTAATTTATACTTAGTACAATCAAGAGATATGGCACCAGAAGAAACGTCATCGATTTCTAATGGTCCGTTCATACGTTTAAGAGAAGGGCTTTGCTGCGGTACCCCAAATAACTATGAGCTATTCATTGATTTCAATCGGACGGTCACGATAAACTATTACCTTCTTGGAGGTAATAGATGATATGTATATTTTTTTATTTTTTTATTTTATAAAATATGATAAATAAGGAAAGTTTTAGATATAAAAAATAAGAAATACTCAAGCACAGTTGCCTGATAATTTGCTTATCCGTCAGTCGACGGGCTCACCAGAAGATGAACGATTGACTAATTAACTCCGACGCTGTGCCCAGCCAGGCACCTGCCGACCAGCGATCTCTCCCAGCCAGCCAGGCGCTCAGGGGCGCTTGCACATCGGGGGTTCCTGTGCGGTGCAGTCCAGGGCGCACAGGCAGGTAGGTATAGCCAGGTCAAGCAAGCAAGGAAGGGCCGGCGCGCGGGTCAGCAAGCGATGCTTTTGCGGCTGCAGTTGCACACTTACACGACGAGGCAGGACGACACCAAGGGCTGGCTAGCTCGGGGCACTCGGCGGAGCAAGAGGTTGAAGATGACTGAAGCTTATGCAAAATCTCAGGCAACTGCTGTGGAGACACACCCATAAAAAATCGTTTTTTCTAGATTTGATTGATGCATGCGTGATCTCTGACTGATATGGTAGATCTTTTTTATTTTATAACTTTTACTTGATATATTTTGATTACTATATTATTTTGTATGTAATTTGATACACTTGATTTTGCATGTGTTAGGATTTGCATGTGTACGTGATTAGCGTGTGTGGTTAGCCTGTAGCGTGTTCGCGGTTAGCCTGGTTAGCGTGTGTGTACACGTGGTGAGCCTGGTTAGCGTGTGTGTACATGCGCCCTGATCGCTTGGCCGTACTTTTTCAGCCAACGAATAATATTTTTCTATCACAACAAATCAGCCAACAGTACTTTCAGTCATGGCTTATCAGCCAAGGGAACAGGACAATGGTTAGGCTACCAACAAACTCCTTAGACCGACTCCAACGACGGGAACCCAAACATGAGACCCATTTCACATTTTAGGTAACGCACAGTGAAAATGTTACATACCCATAACTTCACCTCTTCAACGGACGTCCCAAGCCCCAAATCTCTCCTCTCGTTTGCACTTTCTCCCAACCACGCTGAAGGAAGCGCGACGTGGCGGCCAGCGAAGCAGGCAGGGCGCTGCTGCAGAGAGAGAGCTGCAAGGCGGCGCGCTGGCCAAGCGTCTCTGCTGGCAACTTTGGCGGCGAAGCTCCCCCTCCTCCCCGCCGAAAGCGAGGCCCCGCCATGGCGAGCTCTTGACTTCATGCGGCGGCGATCCAGGCGCTGCGGCGGTGGCCCCCCGGATCCAAGCGATGGCGGCTCCCCAAGCTCGCGCGTGGCGGTGGCTCCTCGCCACCGCTTCAAGGGGCACATGGCACTGCACGTCTGCGCCGCGCCGCCTCCGTCCTCGGCGACCCGCAGCCCAGCAGCCACCATCGGGCAGCGCCCGTCGAAGCTTCGCGCCAGAGTCCATCGAGCTGGCCCACTTCCACGCCATGCTGCTATTCGACGCCGCCAACGACGCCCGCGCCTACGAGGAGAGCATCGAGGTCCCCTCCGACCCTTCACCCCACTCCCTCAGGCTGCCCGGCCCACTGCACAGTGTTTTGCGTCGTCGGAAGAGACGACGCTTTTTTGCCTTGCAAGTCGCCTGCTACGCAAAATGCCTGCCTTGTTTGCCTCCTCCGTTGAAGCGCGTTTTCGAGACGTAAAACACTGTGCAGCACGTATTTTGCGTTTGGGACGTCCGATGGCTGCTCCGTTGGAGACAGAGGTAGGGGCCAAAATTGTACCAACTGCATATAGCACGAAAAGTCTAGTAAAGTGAACCTCGTCGGTCTCCCTTGGTATCCTTTCCTCTATGTATTTGAATGTGATGGCTGGATCACCCTTTTGTTTATAAAGATTAAACAATATAGGGTCCGCATGTTTTCTACTAATTTCAATCTTTTCCCCTTTATCAAATAAACCTAAGATACAGTACACATCCCAATTGGAAATAGAAACCACATGGCTGCGTAAGTTGAAGGTCCTATCCGTTTCATTGAAATTTTCGGCGAGAGACTCCACTAGCATGCGTTGAATAGGCATGGACGGTATACTAAGCAGGCCGCCTAATCCTATTTTTCTTACGATACGCTTTTGTTCATCTATCAAATTCCTGCACAGTGCCCCAAAATTTTCCGGCATGCACGGCCTATTCGCTTGGTCGTAAACGATTATAAATTTTTAGCTAGAACAATATTTTTCTCTCACACCAAACCAGTCAGCAGTAATAATCCACGATCGTATACGATCGTATCAGCACCAGCCGATTTGAACCTGGTTGTCAATCATATAAAAAAACACATCAAAATTATTCTCTTCAAACCTTACACAATGTATGTACACTATGCCAATTGTAAAATACCATTTTAAAGCAGCTAAGGCCCACACTTCACCAACTTCAATAATCTGATTTCAATTGTGATAAATAATAACGAAGATGTCGTTCGGCTGGCTGGCTGGCTCTGTCACTCACGAAATTACTGTTCACGTCATACCAAAACAATACTTTCCTCTCACCATAATCAGCCGGAACAGTATTTTTCAGTGCTGTCGAACAGGGCCGAACAATTAGAGTACTCGATCATGATACGGAGAGCAGCAATAATAAACAAATGCCAACATTCAGTGAGGGCCACAAGCAATAAGAGTTGGGAGTGGAGCGCATACCGATCTAGTTGCAGGTGATACGGAGAACCGGCACCATCGTCCTCGGAGAGGCCAGCTGCAGAACGTGAGGGAAGGACGAGATGGCTATCTCAGAAGTATGAAAGCAAATGCATGATTGAACACAAAGCTCCAATGTTTTTACCGGCTTGCAATGGCTGCGTAGGTGGCGATGGAAACCTGGGGATCGGTCCCGTGACCGCCGCTTGTTCGGCGACATCGCCAAAGCAGCATCTTCCGTGATTGAAGGAGCAAGGAAAGGGATCTGATTCAGAGATTTGTGGGGAAGAATCGGATCGAGGCGACCTGGCCGGAAGGGAGCGAGGATGGCCGGATCGGTGGCGGCGCGCGAGGACGACCGGCGTGGCCCCGACTCCAGCCCGCCTGCTCCACCCGTGCGCACGCCGTCGGGATCCCAAGCATAGGCGCGCATGATTAGGGGAATCGGCAATTCGGCATGCATGTCTTACTCCCGTCATTAGGGGGATGTGGAGGGATTTTATTTTGTTTTCCTGGATTTTATTAATTTATTAAGTAATTTATAAAAGGAATATAAAAATCAATGGCTCATATTGATTTGAAATATTACCTCCTCAAAGATAAAGTTTGTACCTTAGCATTGCCCTTAAGAAAAATATCACGCTTCATATTTGCTACTATTAGTAGAGAAAATAAAACAACCATTTGGGAACCTTCTCAAAATCACATGCATGTACAGGTAAAGAAGACAACAGGGTTACATGGTTGCATGTACTTGATAGGACACATCTATATATATTAAGCCAGTTTGGCTCAGCCGCTCCTCAGGGTGGCCACGCTAGCAGAATTAATAGCTGCCGTCTGGTTTGCATCTAGTGGTTCTGGTTTACCCCACCTTTCCTCTACTGTACAGTCCCACGCGTCAGCAGATGAATGGCTATAGATAAATATCGCTCCATCCCGTTCAGTCTCTCTCCAACCCATGGCATCGCTCGTCTCCTCCGTTCCTCTGTCGCTCTCTCGTCTCCGTCACTCCACCCTCTTCCTTCCTCCGCCTCGCCTCTCCCAGCCGGTGCCGCCCCCCCTTCACTTCACTGCGTCGCGCTGCGCCCTCTCAGCCATGGTAGCTCACTTAGCTCCTGTGCCTCCGGACGGCCCCGGCGTGTGTCAAGAAACCCTAGGGAGGCCCCTCACACACTA